GTTCTTCCCTCTGACGGTTTCTCGTGACCCGACGACGTCCTCTCCCTCCATGCCGTGGTCCCAGGGTGGAGACCCTCCCTCTCTGCGCCTCTTTGCTCCTCTTCGCTTCCCCGCGGCGTCCACGAAGCGCGCGGGCTGGAGGTGGCAGGCCTTCGCTCGCCTCTACGTCTCTCCCTCTCGTTCTCTCACTCTCTCTTTTCTCTACCTTTCTCTTTTCTTCTCTCCTCTTGCTCTCAGCCGTCCCTCTGTCCAGAGAAGAGGAGAAGTCGCCTCTCTATCCTCTCATTAATATCCGGAGACACGGTCTACCGGTAGAGGATACCTCTGATTGGCTGCGACTGCATCGCGACATTTCGACGGTACGCGAAAGCAAGCGCGAGCAAGTGCAAGATGGAATTGGACGGTTCTTCCGTCGCGATGAGATCGCGGAGCTTGTGCGAGGATGGTACATGGTCAGGAGAAAGACCACGAGGTTCCGAGGTCGGAGACGAGATTATTGATTTTTGGGCAGACAGGTGTAACGGTTTGGTTTTTTGGGAATATCGAATAGGGTGGACAAGGGAGAGACAGTTAGTTCGGCTTGCTTGCTCGTTGACGATGTCATTTATTTCAAAGCATTGACAGAAATGTACTCGCTCAACACTCACAAATTTCCCTAATGTTCTCGTTAGAGATTATCGAGATTCTTCAATCGTTGAAAATTATTGCAAACGAAATCTCAATTTCAGCGTGATTTTCCTTAATGACAGATTTCATGGATCTTGAAAAAAATTGATGGGAATCCCATTCCGTAAGAAACGGAGAACATTTCGACAACATTTCGTCGAAATTCGTCTACTATGTTGACTTGAATCAGCACCGAGCAAGCGTATCCATCCCCGAGGGTTCGAACTGAATTTCTACGTTTTCGAGCCGCGTGGCGCCAGATTCTGTAACGTGATTCGATAATTGCCGTAATCTGGGGGCAGAACCTTTCCTTATTTCGGCCATATGCCGTCCAGCCTGGAGCTACATCTCCAACTACCGGTCGTAAAACTTCCTACCGAATTCTTTCTTGCTCTTTCTCTTCGCTGTGCACCCGGATATATTCGAAAGCCGCGGATTTCGCTGCGTTCTTGTTTCGAAAACCTTTCAGGTAGTTACAAATGGAAGCTGAAGACGTGGTGAAGTTACGATTGGTCATTGATCGAAGAAACACGCCAATTTTTCCAGTGAGTTGTATGTAGAACGAATAGTCGGTGAATTAAGTTTCAGTGAAAATGGATAAGATTTTTAGCTCTTCCAACACTACTGGATATAGTTGTTTTTCGAGTTAAATTTCATTCCAAATTCCATGAAACGTAAATATTTCAATTATTTGTAGTCTCTAGTAGTATATTGTGTAATCTAAAAATAAAAAAAATAAAGATGGATTACTATCATTAATATCAGTCGAAATTGCTTCAACGTTGTTGATATTAGTAATAATTTTACGTCTGCAATTTTCAACTCCTTTGAATTACATATCCAATGTATGTATGTATTGCAAAGAGATTCATTTACAAGATCAATAATAAATAATGAAAGTTGATATTTTTATTGAAAGAATGACTTTTAGGATCCATATTGATTAGACATTTTTTGCTGTATATACAAAATCTGTTTCACTCATAATTACCAAGTAATATATTTTTTTTTCTGTTATTAGATTCACTTATTTGCTCGTTACAGGTGTATTTTCTATTTTTATTTATAAAAAAAAAATACCTATATGAAATAAAAGATGATGTGATCGCGCACTATCGGGATAAAAATAATCTATTCTATAACACTAATGGAATACACGTCAACTCAACTGTGATAAAAAAAAGAATATCTTTTCATTTTCCATTATAATGATCCAAAAATAAAGTAAAGATAATATAAAATAAATTGTTAAATAATACTACATTCTTAAAAGACACATTATATTAAACATTATTATTAAAATGCGGATTTTATGCATAGAAAATTAAGAATTGCAAAAGTATATAATCCAATTAGTTAATATGTACAAAAATTTCTATACATATATATTTATCAAAAAATTCAATCACTCGTACTTTTATAGTCTTTAACTATACAATTTTTCAACATTCTTTGTTGAAATTTTAC